ACGGGACTGCCCTCCGGCCCGCCTCCCGCGCCGCCCAGGGACAGCGGAGCGCATACACGGGCGGGCCTGGACCCCTGGCCCCTGCACCCCCCGCCGCCTACCTGAGGCCCTGCCCCGCCCCCGGCCGAGGCCACGCGCCGCCAGGCGAGATACAACCGCTAACGGGCCCCCTCCGCCCCGGGCCTCACCCCCAGCGCATGCGCTCTACTGGCATCATAGAGTACAGCCCTCCCGAGCGCCTAGAGAAGTGCTTCCGGCGGAAGGAAACACGCCGCCTTACTCTTTTCCAAGCCTGGCAGGGACCCCTCCCTGCTGTGCCGCCTTGCCCTCACTTAAGATGGCAACAGGGAGGGGCGGGATTCCTTCCTGGGCTTGTGTTGTACTGCGCAGGCGCGCTCGGCCGCCGTGTAGCCTCTTCTCGGACTGAGGCGCGAAGGGCGCTGGTGTTTCCAGCTCTTTTGCAGCCCACGAGCCTCTGCGTCGCTCGCCACCCCCCCCGGACTGGGGCGTGCGGAAGAGGAGGTGCAACAACATGGCACAGCGCCCTGGGCCAGGCACACAGCAGCAGTGCATGGGGTCAAGGCGGTGGTAGCCACACGAGAGCAGGCAGCCCGGGCAGACCTGCAAGGGGTGGGGTAGGCACTATCCAGGGAAGAGTTCCCCATCATGTCCTGCCCCCAGCTGGCAGAAGGAGCTTCCGCTGAAGCAGCGGTGCTGATCGCCCCTGCCCTGCTCCGTGTGGGCAGCTGTGGAGGAGCAGGGCGAGTGGTGCTCCTGCTACCGGCTTGATGCCTTCCCTCCTCTGGGCTGGAGCCTGTCTGACCTGCTGCTGGGGACACCAGTGCAGCCACCCCTGCCCTTCAGCTGCCACTGACAAGTCTACAGCGTTTCTGGCTAAGCAGAAGAAGAGCTGCAGCCCCTTAGTGAATGAGCAGTTCTAGCCTAGTGCTTACCAGGTTTGGGGCCAGTTGTACAGATGGAGGCAGCAAAAATGAGCTAATTGAAGGCCCTAGAAAGTGCCTGAAGATAGAAAGCAGCCCTGTGGGCGAGGGGAAAATGCACTAGTCAAGTGGAAAATGAACAAGAGGGTTTGGACCCTGTGAAGTGTGGAGGGGCCAGGCCGGACAAGCAGGAGGGCACCTGCGCTCCAAGTGAATCAAGTTGGGACCTTTAGGCAAAGTAGCTGCACAAATTCCACCAGACATGGACGCTGACCTCTAGCACTACCTCTCTGCTGGGGGCAGAATGACTTTCCTTTGGACATAAAGTGCAATTTCAAAGGAAGGCTAGAAAAAAGAGGTGGAAAAACAAAGTAACATCAGAGTGAACTCCCTGAGCAGAAATGGAGGGAAATAAGTATGTTTTCATGTATATGGTGTCCTTGACTGGGATTCTGAAACATGCCTGTTAAATGAAGTGGCATGGTCTTTACATTCCTGCATGGGTGAGAAGAGGTAATTGTCTCCCAGTACTGTGGGTAAAACCACCAGTCACAAGCAGAGAAAGAAACTAATGCTTTGAACCATCACCAGGGAGGACTATACCTCGGTTACTCGGGACTGCAGGGAGGCAGTCAGGTAGGTCAAGGCGGAGATGGAACTGGGACTAGCTACCTGGATCAAGGGCAACAAGAAGTCCTTTTTTAAATAGGGGGCAAAAAGAAGGTACCAGGTAACGTGGGGCCTCTGCAGGACACGCTAGGAGATCTGGTTGTTGCACCAGATGACAAGGCTATAACCTATTTAACGATTTCTTTGCCTCCATTTTCCTGAGCAGGGACCAGATCAGTCCGTCCGCTGGGACCCCCTCAGGCCCCGGGGGAGGCGCACCCAGGCCTAGGGTCAGTGAGGATCTAGTCAGGGAACTTCTGGAGGGACTGGACGTATTTAAATCAGCTGGTCCTAATGACCTCCACCCCAGAGTGCTGAGGGAATTAGCAGAGGTCATTGTGGGACCCCTGGCACGGCTTTACGAGCACTCGTGGTGGTCTGGTGTGGTGTCAGAGGACTGTGTGGTTCCCATTTTCAAAAAAGGGAGGAAGGAGGGCCCAGGAAACTATAGGCCAGTTAGCCTTACCTCGATTCTGGGTAAGCTTTTTGAGAGAATTATCCTGGCACATGTCTGGGAAGGGCCAGCTGGGGAGATTATGCTTAGGGGCAACCAACATGGGTTCATTAGAGGCAGGTCCTGTCAGACCAACCTGGTGGCCTTCTATGACCAGGTCACAAAATCCTTAGACACAGGGGTAGCAGTGGACGTAGTCTTTCTGGACTTCAGGAAGGCATTTGACACTGTCTCACCCCATTCTCATTAAAAAACTAAGGGACTGTGGCATCGACACCTACAGTCAAATGGATCGCTAACTGCCTGGAAGGCCGCACCCAGAGAGTGGTGGTGGACGGGTCATTTTCAACCTGGAGGGATGTGGGCAGTGGGGTCCCCCAGGGCTCGGACCTCGGACCCGCGCTGTTCAACATCATCATCAATGACTTGGACGAGGGGGTAAAAAGCACCCTATTCAAATTTGCTGATGACACTAAGATGTGGGGGGATGTGGCTAGAAGGGAGGAATAGGCTGCAATTGGACCTAGACAGATTTCAGGGGTGGGCAGATGAGAACAGGATGGGTTTCAACACTGACAAGTGCAAGGTGCTGCACCTGGGGGGAAGAACCAGCAGCATACCTACAGGCTGGGGAACTCCCTTCTTGTCAGTGCAGAGGCAGAAAAGGATCTTGGAGTCATTATTGATGCCAAAATGAACATGGGCCAACAGTGTGGGGACGTGGTTAGGAAGGCCAACCACATCTTGTCATACATCCACAGATGCAGCTCAGACAGGTCCAGGGAGGTGATCCTTCCCCTCCGTGCGGCACTGGTCAGGCCGCAGTTGGAGTACTGTGTCCAGTTCTGGGCGCTGCGCTCCAGGAGGGATGTGGACAGCATTGAGAGGGTTCAGAGGAAGGCCACCCGCATGATCAGGGGGCAGCAGGGCTGGCCCTATGAGGAGAGGCTAAGGGACCTGAACCTGTTCAGCCTCCACAAGAGAAGACTGAGGGGGGATCTAGTGGCCTGCTACAAACTAGTCAGAGGAGACCAGCAGGCACTGGGGGAGTCCCTGTTCCCCAGAGCACTACTAGGAGTGACTAGAAATAACAGTCACAAGCTGGCAGAGGGTAGATTCAGACTAGACATCAGGAGGCGCTACTTCACAGTCAGGGTGGCTAGGATCTGGAACCAACTTCCAAGCAAAGTGGTGCTGGCTCCTACCCTGGGGGTCTTTAAGAGGAGGTTAGATGAACACCTTGCTGGGGTCGTTTGACTCCAGTACTTTTTCCTGCCATGGCAGGGGGTCGGACTTGATGATCTGCTCAGGTCCTTTCCGACCCTACCAACTATGAACTATGAACTTTGTTTGAAATGACAAAATGAAGAAGGTCCTGCCTTCAGATGCTTAACACTGAACTACAAGAGGGCCAGCACCTTTAACTCACTAGATGTAAGTGTTGTGACAAGACACCAGGCAGACAGGTAGGCTGTTCCTGCAGTACCATTTGGAGTCTTTAAATAGTAGACTGTCTGAATTAGAATATCAGACTCAGGCAAGACATGTTTGAGACTCACTATATCAGATCCAGGCTGAGGTTTTGAATCCCTATTTCCAGATCTGGGGGAGGACAGAAAATAACAATATTATTCTTATGTCCTGTTATCTACTTTCAGGCCCAGCTCATGATTTTATCCACAGACTAAGCCTGACTCCCCTCAAAGGCATCCTGATTCTTCTCTGTAGGGTGTGATAGAAAGGAGAGTACTAGTGAGGAAACAGTCTTTGTGTGTCAAGACACAGCCATTTTAGAAAGAGCAAACAGGTTTTGCTGAAGTCAAGATACTTTGACACACAGCTTCCTTTGAGGTAGCAACAGGTAGGAGGACTGAGGTACTGTTGGGCAAGATTGGTAAAAAAGCTGAGCTTTTGAATACTTATCCACAGGCACAAAGTCATCTGATGACTGCCCCCAAGCAAAATGTTTAAGCTTTTTTATTTGAAAGTATATATATTGCAACCAGTGTCCTTTGTATGTATTTTTGCTAATGTGGGTATCTGCTTTACTCTATGCTTTAATATGGATGTTATTAATGATGGAAGCCTGTTTTTTTGGCCTTTTCCTATTTATCATCATATATTACTTATGCTGGTTTCCCAGGACCCGTGTGTACTTTGTCTATACAAAAGATAACTTTCGGAAACTCCCGGTACTGCCTTATAGCATGCTGCTTTTGTGCATTTTATTGCTTATGGGGAAAAGGAGGGGACATCATTTACTACCTGCTCTTCCAAGCATATTAAGCTTATAATTGGCATATTTTAGTTGTTCTAGGAGTGGAAGAAGAATTAAAGGAGAAAACTTATTAGTGACTATATCAGAAATAATCTACAGAACTTGTAAAGGGTATTATGTGTTTCGTTCTAAAAACGCCACATCCCTATCAGCTACTAAAGCCAAAGAATGTGTTGACTTTCCTTTTGTCCATCTCTATGAATGTTAGAGTTGAAAAATTTTATTACAGGCAAAACAAAAAATTTCATGTGCCCCCTAACTAAATGAAACAGCTAAATGTTTATAGAAGAGGAGGATGACATGGTCCCAGAATGATAGTCTAACACTCTTGAACAGCAGAGGGTAGTAGTGTGCTTGTACATGGTGAGAAGACAGAAGGAAATGCCCTGCAAGAAAGCTGGCTGCTTTACAGCAAACAAGGCCCTCAACAGAATAGTTTAGAACGATGAATTTGACAGACAGAAAAGAATAACATACTCCTGAAAAAAAAAGGAAAGATGAAGAAGCATGGGTTAAACATGGTTGCACTCAGTTTTTATTGTTTCTAATTTTTAAGATTTCTAATTTTTAAATGTAATTGTAGATACTTATTTCAACAGAATTGCTGCAGATGTATTTAGAAGTTATTTTAGAGACACAAATGAAAGTTTATGGTGGAAGTTACTAACTAGGTTTTTGAAAGATGGTTATGTATGTTATGGTATGTAGGTTTAAAAGGATAAAAGGGCTTTTGCCCCAGTGCAAGTAGTAATTGTCATGACCCAAAAGGCATGATTGTGTGTGTGCTTCGGCACCAGAATTATCCCCGCCAAGTTACAGAGCATTGCACGGGAGAGTTTCCTGTAGCAAGAGGAAACCCTGGTGCAGGGATGAGTTTCCCGCCTTTTCTGCAGCTTCTTTTGCAGAGTGCATTGCTCGAGTTGCAAGAGGAATGCACGGTGCAAAAGAGTTCCCGCCACCGGTATGCAAATTCGTTCCCCGTGATTGGCTAGTGCTAAATTATTCACACGTGGCGGCTAACGATTGGCTTGTTAGCTGTATAAGAGGCTTGAGCGGTTTCCGCCCAAGCCGAAGAGGACTCCACATCCATCTCGTGGGGACTCTGGGTACACGGCAGGGTAACAGAAACCCTGTGTGAGATCCAGAGGAGCGTGGCGGCCTGATCCACCGCCCACTTCTTCCTGTCCTCGAGCGCAACTTTTATAAGACGTACTTACGATTTCTATTTTGGTGGCTCCTTCACCCCAAGCATCCGGAGCTCTGCACCGTGGAGCCTAGCAACCTCCACGCGACCGTCTGTGTTGTCTGTCTGTAACTGCAACTCAATCAAGTTTTCCAGCCTGCACCACTGCCATCTTGGTGTAAGTAAACAATCTTTAAAACTACCACGAAAAGGGCTCGGGTCGCTCCCGGCCCGCACAGTAATAAAGTGGCTGTGGATTCTTGACTTGAAAAACAAATTAAATTGAGCGCGTGACTGATAAAACTTATTCTGAACCAAACTTTGAATCTAGTTGCTTTCTTAAAAGTACAAAGTACTGAAACTATTGACCTATTCTGATCACTGCATTTATGAACCAATTAGGTTCCCCATCTGATAATTCTCCTGCATGGGGAGGAGATAATTCTGCTCAAATCTTCTATATTTGCTGAAGCAAAGTATTAAATTCCAACTTTTTCTTAAGATGTGTTCAAAACTTCATAATGCTGTTTAGTTTTCTCATTGAAATGCTGAATATTATGTCCAAGCAATTTTAGCAAGTGTAATAATTGAACAATATGATTACAGTTGTCACAACCCAGTGATTTTGGTGCCTCGGCACGATGGAATTTTCCCGCCACATGAGAGCCTCTTGCAAAGTAAAAGGTTTTCTGTTGCAGCAGAAAACCCCGGTGCAAGAGAGTTCCCGCCATTCGAATGCAAATTTGTGTCCCGCTATTGACTAGTTCTAAATTATTTCTACGTGGCGGCTGGTAATTGGCTTGCTGGCCGTTTAAAATTTCGTGCGACTTCCGCCCAAGTCGGAGAACTTTGAGCACACTGCAGAGTGCCTCTAAAGAAATCTGACTTGTGGCTGAGCTGATCGATAGACTGATCACCTATCGATTCTTCTCCCCGTCGCCGAGCGCAATCCCCGACGTACCCTTGCCCCG